ATATATATATATATATATATATATAGAAGAGAGAGAGAGAGAGAGAGAGAGAGAGAGCAAGAACGAGCAAGAGAGCGCGCTATTATGACGGGGACGGGCCGAGCGACCCTGGGGAGGCCAAATCCGTTACTTCGAGTGGAGCGTCGTTTTTGCGCTTCGTTTCCTTCTTACACTTGTGCTTTCGATTCGCCGTCTCCTCCGCTGCAAATCCATCGGGAATATTAGGGACGAGAGAAGTCGCCACGTGCGTACGAGCCACGTTCGATGACGTTTGAAATTTTAACGGCCGGTCGTTGAGCTTTGCTGGATGGCTCGTCCATTGACGTATCGGAGGCGTCGTATCGCGTTAAGCTCAGGCAATTTTCCAATCCTTGATTATTTAAAAACTCGGATTGAATTGATAAGACTTATCTTTACGGGGCAAGCGATGATATTTTGATGGTTATTATTATGAGCCGAGATCGCACGAAAAGCGTTATTGCCGACGCAGGAGTACGGGAGAGCAAAGACGCACTGACAAGCTCGATCGAAACAAGGAAAGAACATTTTCTCTGTGTCGAAGGTGGCCGGGATGGAATAATCTAGTCTGCCTCCACATATCCTTCGTGTATATTGAATTTCCCGAGTTTATATTTGTTGATAAAATCCACGTGGAATAAACTTATGAAAAGATTGCGAAGATGAAGAAGAGGGGGGGGGGGGAGCGGTAAACCCTAATGAAATTAAATTTCTAAGGATCACAACGCGTACCTTTTTATCTTCTCTTATGTAGACTCTTTCCTTGATTCTGTCTCGTACACAAATTGGAGAGTCTATATATATATATATATGTAGAGAGAGAGAGAGAGAGAGAGAGAGAGAGAGAGAGAGAGCAGTATTATACGCAATTTACATAGCGCTTAATCTTTTAATTTTATCATCATTTCATAATTTCCACGCGTTCTGTCTCCTAAATTTCATTCGCCATTGTATCGATTCAAAGTGATCTGCGAGAATTGCACAGTTTCCATCAAAATCATTCTAATAATATTACAAAGTATCCATTATAGAAATTAAGACTTTATGAAGCTTCATTTTTTATATGATCATGCGGTACTAATGATTAAGAAATCAAAAAATTCAAAAAGATAATGTAGAAAAATCTTGCGAATCAGAAGGTATTATTTATTCCAATGTACTAATATTATTAAAAAAAAAAAAAAATTCAACTATTTTTTATAAATTATTAAGAGAATATAGACTTTGATAATTATTCCAATGATATTTAATTTTATAAATGGTACATTAAAATTGTATTATTGTCGCTGGTTTACCATGTTAAAAAGACATTTAAAACGGCAAAAGGAACATTATAGCGTTTGATAGAATTCTTTTAATTAAAAATAATTTAATGTTCCCGTACTGTTAAAGTAATGCGAATTTATATTTGCTCATCAGTCTTAACATACATGTTTATAATTTAATTGAATTCATCGACATGTGACCTTTTAATTTCACAGCAACGAATCATTACGCAAGCATTTTCAGTTACATCAAAGTGAATTTTTTATAGTTAATAAATATATTGAATAATATATATTAAGATTAATTAGCGTTAATAATATTCTTTGACTCTAAATAAAAATGCAATTATTACAAGTTTTAAATACGAAATCTAATTGAATTGTAATTTAGCACATTAAATTATATTTAACGTGTATATAACAATTATTTGTGTTTAACATTTACTTATCATTGTCGATTCCTTATTTATTTTAATTTCTAATGTTTAGATTATTCTCGGATTTTTAAGACTTAAATATTCGTAATTTCGATTGAAAACATTTCTTTTGAAAAATTTCCAAACTCATCAATTAAAAAATGAACAAATTAGTACGCATCCTTAAATCGTATTCGCACTATATCATTTTCACAAATTGATGTGTTAATTAGCAAGCAATTATTGTTATGTAAAAAAAAAAAAAAAAATCCAATTGTCACTCTGCATGAAATTGGGAAGAAAACTTATTTCATTTTGTATTGAATTAATGTTAGTGGTACCATTGCGTTTAACATTAGTATATCTTTATTAATTGTTATTTCAGTGTTTAAATGCATCATTAATGTTTAATTTTCGACAACGGATAATATTAATTACACAATCATTTCATTGTTAAGTATTTCAACGATTTTCAAATACTAACAAAAAACACACACATGCGCGCGCACAATTTACCCAGTAAATACATATAGAACATATCTTTTTTTTTTTTTTAGAATAAAGAATATTTAGTAACAATATGACTGTTTAATTATTTAGGAATGAAATAATTGAGACGAGTTTAATAATCGAATAGAAAGTATTGGCATGAGATTGTTAAATAATTTTTCCATTTTTCATTTTTTTTCATAAGTAAAACTTATATTTTTATATTAAAATTTAATATATTTTTTTTATAAACGTTTATGTAGGTTAAATATTTCCCATGCCATCCCAGAATTTCTGTCTTCACAAATGCTTATAAATTTGTTGTTGATTTATTTTTCGTACAAGTAGTAAATAGAAAATTGTTTAAATAAAAAAGATGTTTTAACCAAATTTCGCGAATAATTTACATCATTTTTTAAAAAATAATGTACTAAACGTCAGAATTATTATATTTTAAAATATTATTAACAAATACGTGACTTAACGATTCACACAATACTTACAATATATTACATTAATTCACTGATTAAAATTTTAAATTTGACTTTTAACGGTTTACCAATGCTTACTTGTAGCTGCCAACTTATGTAAGGAGTTTCGATGATATTGATTTTGCCCAGCAACAAATGTTATTAAGAGAAAAATAAATAATATATATGACGCTATTTTATTTACAGGTAAAGTAACGCAAATACACTCATTTATTTCCTATGCATTTACTGACTTTATACAAATAATCAAGTTTTAAATGTAGTTTATCACTAATGTAAGCTTGAAAGGAAGTTTGTGAATTGTCTTAAAAACTTTTTGAGGTCCGATGTACATATTACGATAAAATTATTTTTCATTGCTATACATTACCGTATCATTTATAAGTGT